GTCCATGAAAGATTATAAAGGCATCCTGGATGTACATTGGTGGATATGCAAAAAGGTGCTGGAAGGAACTTCCATCAGACTTCCCTTTAACGCCCCTGCAGAATGACAGTGGAGTAATTCTTTACAGAATGCTGCTTTCTTGTGTTCTTCAGCTGGCTCGGCCACAGGCTTTAGGAACTGACTGGTAAACTGGAAGCTGTGCTTCTGTGAAGGAGTGCTAAATTTAATTCTGTTTGGATGTAATATATTGGTGAGGCACAAAAGCCTGTAGACTGCCTTGTACATACCTGCCACTGTTGACAACAGTCAATATCTCAATCCATTATCCCCTGATATCAAGCCAAAAAAAAAAGTCTCCTACACTCTTTAATTACCCACGCATCACTGTGGATTGCCTTTCACTTTTTAAATATTGGATCTTGTTCAGAAAGCAAAGTTACTTGAGAAAGTACTCTCACAGCATAAGCCCTGAAATAATTAGATGTTTTTAGCCACTTACAGTGAAGCAGATTTCACTTTGTTCAGTGCAGGGAATTTATTTTGTCTGATTTTGATGAAAGTCTGATTTAAGGACATGCCTGACCTAGTGATTATAACAAGGAACCAGAAATTCTCCAAGAAAACTCCTAATTTGGGATCAGAGTTACAAGTCAATTAACTCCTCCATAACTCAGTTCTGGGGGTAATCAGTAAAATTAGTAAGATGGGAGTAATAATGATTGTAGCTCCTTGGATGAAAGGGGCAATGCAATTTCAAAGTGCTTCTAGTATTTATTCATCGATGTGTTTTTTTTTGGTAGATCTTCTTTCTGGTCTTACGTGCTGTGGCAGAAGGCCACCTCTGTTTCTCCCCAAAAACTCTGCTCTGTGACAACTTGGTTAGGATGGGCCCAGCAGAGGAGACACACCTTTACCCTCTCTCTTTAGATAACCTGAGCTGGATACATTCCTGAGGGAGGGGGGAAACCTGCTCCCTCTGCCTACGTGACTAGTATCACATACCTGGGTGAGGGGCTTCCTCCCTGGTGGGCTAGAGACTGCCAGTCTGCCCGGCAACTAGTGATGCATTTCAAATTGGTTGGCTGACAACCAACAGGTGCTGGCCTCCGTTGGACCAGGTAAATGAGGTCACAAGGGCTATATAAGTTAAGGACTGCCCAGGAAGAGGGGGCAGCAGCCATGAAGAAAACAGAGAAGAGCTGGACCATTTGAAACTTGCTCTCTCTCTCTCTCAAAACTCATGATCAAGGAACTGTTTGCTTCCAGAGGGAATCTCCACCTACCTCTGGATGATGCTTGTGAGTAAGCTACCTGAGATCTAACTAGATATTTAGCTTGCAGTAACTCAGATGCATGATCAAAGGCTACCCAGCCAGGGGAGTTTGCTCCCTGGGATTTCTCTGATATTGCTCTAGCCTGTACCCTATTCTAACCCTACCCTCTGTAATCAATAAAGTTCTCCTTTGTACCTAGTGCGGGAGACTTATTGGGAGTGGGTCTAGATTATGCCTGGGGGTCCCCTTGGTTCGGCTGACTAAGGGAGACCGCTACTTGTGCTTCCGACTGAGGGAAGCATCCCAAGTTCTTGAAGTGAATCAAGTACCCTGGAGGGCTACTAGGCCTGTGTTTCCCAGGGTGCACAGAGCCAGAATCAGTCCAGAGCCCTGGGTGGTGGCAGTGGAACCCCCAGGCTAGTGGGTGTGCTCCAGGAAGGGGGTCGGCCAGACGTGAGGTGCCCCCAGGGAGGCACTCGGAGCCTGGAAGGTGGTCGGGCGCAGTGAGGTGGGTGGCCCTACGGGCTTGCCACACATGCCACAGATCATAATCATCTCCTTGGAAAGAGCTCAGATTCCCCCCCGCCCCCCTTTTTTTTTTTTCTTTTTTGGCCAGGAAGATGCATTATTTGAGTCCCTTCACTTTTCTGTACAAGGGGATAAGTAACCTTGCTCAAAATGCCTATGTTGCCAGTGCCCTCTCTCCCATTATAGTAGTTCCACAGAGATTTTTTAGGTCAGGTCTCAGCTGGTACGGATAGCAAAGCTATTCTGACTTAGGCCAGTTGATACCTGTCTTCATGTGCATCTTTTACTCAATTTTTGACTGTGTCTGTACTGTGCATTTTAAATTCCT